TTGTTGACGGATCCATTCTTCCGCCTTCATGTGGCCTGCCTCTTAAGGACCGATTTCGTAGGCGTTTCAAGTCCCAGAAAGGGACCCGCAGGCTGTGGGCTGTGTCAGTCTGGACTTGGGCTTCCGGGGGTGGTCTCCTCCAGGATACCTTCTGACTTCCCTTCCTCAGGCGGGTCAAGACCTGCCACCTCAGTCACCGTGACGTTCTTTCGTGTTGGTAATCATTGCACAATGTTTATCTCCACCGGAGTCTCAGCCCTGAGAACAGCACCTGATTTGTCCTGTCACTTCTGTGGCTTCTGACCAAGCACAGGGACTGGGTCAGTGTTTATTGAGCCTCTGTTGAGTGCCAGGCCCAGATGTTGGAGCTGGGGGCAGAGCAGGGGGTAAGACAGATGACTCCCTGTCCTTGGGGGGGCTAACCCTTGGACCCCAAGACTGTTCGCTGAGCAACTATTTGTGTCTTGGATTGCCTGTGTCACGAACAGCAATTTTCTTTTTCTTTTTTTTTAAACGTCTTATTTTACCTTCATTTACTTCTCTTTATTTTTAAGCTGATTCTCTTCTGTTCCCCTCTCTCTGAGCCCTCCCTCTCAGTTTCCAAATTCTAAATGTCACAGTTATAACTCTTTGGTGTTTATTTGTTTTTTGTTTGTTTGTGGTGGAGGGATAGTTGTTTTAAATGTGAACCAACGTGAATTAGCAACCTTCATGGAAGGGTCTAGATTGCCCATCAGAAAAATCCAGACCAGCTCGGGCACTGTGGCCCACGCCTGCAATCCCAGCCACTCAGGAGGCTGAGGCAGGAGGATCACAAGTTCGAGGCCAGCTGCAGCAACTTTGTGAGACCTTGTCTCAAAATAAAAAATAAAAGGGCCGGGCATGCAGCTCAGGGGCAGAGCCCCGGGGTCAATTCCCAGCATAACAGAAAGGCAGAACCTACCATGGAGACCCTGCAAGGCCCTGTAGCCGCAGGCAGCTGCCAGTTGAGCTGGTCTTGGCGCCAGGGCTTAGGAAGGAAGATCCTCACCCAGATTCTCGCGGGAACCCTGGGGGGCGGGGCTTGAACACCCCAGTTTTACCGATGGAGGAACTTAGGCTGGAAGAAGCTTCCCCCAGGGCTGGGGATGTGGCTCAGCGGTAGCGCGCTCGCCTGGCATGCGTGCGGCCCGGGTTCGATCCTCAGCACCACATACCAACAAAGATGTTGTGTCCGCCGAGAAGTAAAAAATAAATATTAAAAATTCTCTCTCTCTCTCTCTGTCTCTCCTCTCTCACTCTCTCTTTAAAAAAAAAAAAAAAAAAGAAGAAGCTTCCCCCAGCTGGCTAGGGACAGAGCTGGCCGGAAGCCCCTGTTGAGTGGTCCCCAGGCGCCATGCTCTGTGGTTCCCCAGAGCAGCAGCGAGGCCATTTCCACCTGGAGTCGTCGTGGAGCTGGTGTGGGATGACTGGCTTCTTACATGAAGTCCCTGGGACTGTCCCTGTCCAAGGAACTGCTTCCACTGGGACCCCTTCCTCAGGGTCACCTGACAGTGTTCCCTAGTTCCTGGGTGGGGACAGGCAGAGGGAGCCAGGCAGCTCTTGCCCTCGATGTGGGTCCCATGCCCTTGCCTGGCCTCACCTCCGCTGTCAGGGCCTCCTGTAATTACCAGACCTCACGGTGTTTATTTGCCAAGCTCTGATCTGAGTTTCCTGTGTCCCTGTGCCGTGCTCTACAAACACTCTTTGATCCTCAGAACAACCCTGGGAGGTGGGGACCATTATTATCCTAATTTTATACCTGGGAAATGGCACTGAGAGGTTAAGTGACTTGCCCAAGGTCACACACCAGCGGAGTCAGGATCTGAACCCTCTGGTCTTTGGTCTGTGCTCCTGTGTGCTGCCTGGCAGAGCAGGGCCATCCTTCCTGTCCCTGTTCTCATTAAAATGAGAAGAAAGGGCTGGGGCACTAGGCACTCCTGGTTAGAGCACCTCCTAGCAGCACAAGGCCGGGGTTCTGGGGACTGGGGACAACCTGGCACACCCAAGCCGAGGGCTCATTGAGGAAGGGAAAATGTATCACTGTAAAGGGAGAAAGTGAAGACTATTCTCATATTTAAAATGCTTTAAAATTTCTTTGGTGATATATAGATATATAGAGATATAAAGATATATCCCCCCCCCCCAGGGCTGGGGATGAACCCAGAGCCTCACACATGCCAGGCAACTGCTCTACCACTGAGCCTCATCCCCATCACTTTTTTTTTTTTTAATATATATTTTATTTAGAGACAGGGTGTCACTGAGTTGCTTAGGGGCTCTCTGAGTTGCTGAGGCTGGCTTTGAACTTGCGATCCTTCTCCTCAGCCTCCTAAGCTGCTGAGATTACAGGCGTGCACCGCTGCTCCCAGCTCCCAGCTGTTTTTTATTGATTACTTTTAGAGGATTATTTACTCCATTTTATAATGAAAAATTTCGAACATATGGGTATAAGTCAGAATAATGGCCCGAGAGCCCCCTCATAGACAGGACATTTCAGTCACTGCTATCTATACATTCTAGGAAAATACTTTTTTTTTTCTTTTTTTAACATCTTATTTTACTTTAATTTACTTCTCTCTTTTTATATTTATTTATTTAAGGTGTAGATGGACACAACACAATGCCTTTATTTTTATGTGGTGCTGAGGATTGAATCCGGGTCCTGCCCGCACTAGGCAAGCGCTCTACCGCTTAGCCACAATCCCAGCCCAACTTCTCTTTATTTTATTTTTATGTGGTGGTGCCAAGGAGCGAACCCAGTGCCTCATGCGTGCTAGGCCAGCACTCTACCACTGACCACAATCCTAGCCCCTAGGAAAAAAAGATTTTCTACACAACTACAATTTGATTTTCACACCTAAGAGTATTGACAGTAATTTCCATAATCATATATAATCTAGTTGTGATCTTGTGAAATATTTATTTGATCTTCCTCTGATTCCTGGCAAACAATTCCTAAAATCCTCATAGTGTCTTATTCCATGCGAAAGAGCTGACTTACTGGATGCGGTGGCCCAGATCTGTGATCCCAGCAATTTAGGAGGCTGAGGCTGGAGGATTGTAAATTAGAGGCCAGTCTCATCAATTTAGCAAGACCCTGTCTCAAAATAAAAATAAAGAAGGGGGGGCTGGGGTTGTGGCTCAGCGGTAGTGCACTTGCCTGGCATGTATGAGGCACTGGGTTCAATTCTCAGCACCACGTAAAAATAAATAAAGGTCTATCAACAACTAATAAATAAATAAATAAATAAATAAATAAATAAAATAAAGAAGGGCTGAGGATGAGGCTCAATGGTAGATTGTCTCGTACTGAAAGAAAGAAAGGAAATAAAGGACTGTTGTTGGTCAGTAGATCCCAGGCTTCAGGTTGGGGACTGGTCACCAGAAAGACCAAGGCAGGATTAGAAGGTTGGGACTTTCAGCCCCACCCCCACCTCCATGGATGGGGGAGGGGCAGAGCTGATAAACAACAGTCAATGATGTCATTCATTGTGCCTAAGCAATGAGACTCCCATAAACCTTCCGAGGACTCTGAGCTTCCTGACTGCTGAACTGGAGGGTCCCAGAGGGTGGCGCTTCCCCCAGCTGTGGAGACCACACCCACCCCCCAGGCCTCCCCCTAAGCTCCCCTTGGAATCCTTCGAAATAGCTGTCAGAGTAAACCACGCTCCTTTCTCTGAGTTCTTTTGAGCCAGTTGGACAAATGAATGGAGCTCAGGTACAGATCTGTGGTCCCAGTGAGCTCCTGGTTCAAAATTTTTAAAAAGCTAGCTTGGCAATCCCAGAGAGTTTGAGGCTGAGGCAGAAGCAGGAGGATCGCTAGTTTGTTGGAGAGACCCTGTCTTGGGAAAATAAAAAAACTAATAGGGCTAGAGATGTAGCTCAGTGGTAAAGTGCCCCTGAATTAAATTCCTGAAGCCACAAAACAAAACAAACTTAAAAAAAAAAAAGAAAGAAAGAAAGAAATACAGCCGGGCATCTGGGCGCAGTGATGCATGCCTGTAATTCCAGCGACTCCCGAGACTGAGACAGGAGGATCATGGATTTGAGGCCAGCCTCAGCAATTTAGTGAAGCCCTAAAAACTTAGCAAACCCTGTCTCAAAATGAAAAATAAAAAGGGCTGGGGATGTGGCTCAGTGGTAAAGTGCCCGTGGGTCCAGACCCCAGTACAAAAAAAAAAGTTTCCTTTGTTTTTGTTTGAGAGGGTCTCACTAGTTATGGAGACAGGCCTTGAACTTGATCCGCCTGCCTCAGCCTCCTGAGGTGCTGGGGCTGCAGGTGTGTACACGGTGCCTGTGCAAAAACAATTTGCTGGAACCTGAGGAGGGGACTGTGGTGATCCCAATCTACAGCAAATGAGTCAGGGGTACAGAAGAAACAGCAGGGATCTTGGGAATGAACCCTGGACCTGCGGGGCCACATGCTGTGTTCAGGCCACAGTGTCAGAGCTGAGTGGGGGGCTCCCCACTGGTGTCTGTTGCTGAAGAGTCAATGGTGGCTTGATGTGGCAGGGGGACGGGGAGGACCCATCCATGCCCAGCATCAGAAATGTGTTATGGCCAGGTGCAGTGGCACACGCCTGTAATCCCAGCAGTTTAGGAGGCTGAGGCAGGAGGATCGTGAGTTCAAAGCCAGCCTCGGTAACTTAGTGAGGCCCTAAGCAATTTAGCAAGACCCTGTCTCTAAATAAAATCTAATAAGGGCTGGGGGTGTGGCTTGGGGGTTAAGCGCCACTGAGTTGAATTCCTGGTACCAAAAAAAAAAGACAAACGTGAGTGTGTGTGTGGGGAAACTGGTCACAGTGTGTGTCTGCTGCTCACTAGTTCAGACCCCAATTCCCCTAACCTTCCTCAGAAAGTAACTGGCTTCTTTGGCGGAAGAGCCTCCTCCGTCCCACCCGGGCCAGTCCCCCCTGCGTACCCCGGCCCAGCCTGGCTGGAGGTCCTCTCTACCTGACCTGTCCCCCTCCTCTCCCCAGGAGCCCAGGATGTGCGTGTTCAGGTGCTACCAGAGGTGCGGGGCCGCCTGGGAGGCACCGTGGAGCTGCCGTGCCACCTGCTGCCACCCACCTCGGAAGTGCGCATCTCTCAGGTGACCTGGCAGCGCCTGGATGCAGCGGCCGTGGCGGCCTTCCACCCCTCCTACGGCGTCCACTACCCCAGCCCGCAGTCCAGCAAGGAGCGACTGTCCTTCGTCAGAGCTGGGCAAGGCGCAAAGGCAGACCTGTGGGATGCCACGCTGGCCTTCCAGGGACTGATGGTGGAGGACGAGGGCAACTACACCTGCGAGTTCGCCACCTTCCCCAACGGCACGCGCCGGGGGGTGACCTGGCTGAAAGTCATAGGTGAGCTGCGCGGGTGCAACCGGAACAATCCCCCACCTGTCTGTTTTTTCTCTGTCTCAGCTGGTGACTTTCCTCCCGTACTCAGTCAGTCGACAGACGCCCATGGAGCACCTACTGTGTGCCCGATGCTTTTCCACATGCCAAGGATACCACAGCCAACAAGGCATTCTTCCAACACTTTACTGAGCATCTACTATGCCCAGGCACCCTCCTGGGCTCTGGGGAGAAAGCAGTTAAGACAGGACTCCCTGTGCTGTAAGGGCTCCCACTCTGGACAGGGGGCGCCAGCGAGTAAACCATAGAACAAAACTAAGAGAGTAAGTCGGCCTGTGCAGTGGCGCCTGCCTATAATCCCAGCATCTTGGGAGGCTGAGACAGGAGGATGTCGAGTTCAAAGTCAGCCTCAGCAATTTACCAAGGTCCTAAGCAACTTAGAGAGATCCTGTCTCAAAATAAAAAAAATAAAAGGGGCTGTGGATGTGGCTCAGTGGTTAAGTGCCTCTGAGTTCAATCCCTGGTACAAAAAAAAAAAAAAAAAACACTCCCAGACTCTTGACTCCAGCGGGAGGGACCTGGGAAGGCGGCTGGTCAAGACTGCTCTTTCTCACTGACTCTTGGAATCCCCCAGGATGCCACCTTCCCTCAGCAATTTTCTGAAGCCACATCACTCTGGATGCTTTATTTTCCCCTTCTCAGCCCCAGAGAGTCGGAAGCCACCCTCTCCCCTCCCTGGGTAGTGCTTCCCTCTGCAAGGAGCCCTGAATCATGACTGTTTGCATAACAGCTCTGCTCCCACCTCGGTGGAAGTCCCTCTTCTTGTGCAATCATTTGTTCTGTCCAAGAGAACAAATACTGCAGTAGCCAGGCTCAGGAGGCTGAGGCAGGAGGATCTCAAGTTCAAAGCCAGCCTCAGCAAAAGCGAGGCACTAAGCAACTCAGTGAGACCCTGTCTCTAAATAAAATACAAAATAGGGCTGGGGATGGGGCTCAGTGGTCGAGGGCCCTGAGTGCAATCCCTGGTACCAAAAAAAGAGAGAGAGAGTTTCCAAGGGCCCGGTCTCTAGTAGGGGCCTTGCCTAGCTTGCACTTGGCCTTCAGTTTCATCCCAGCACTGCAAAATTAATGAGTTAGTTAATTAATTAATTAATAATAAAGGGTGTGCTGGGGTTGTGGCTCAGTGGTAGAGCGCTCGCCTAGCACATGCGAGATGCTGGGCTCCATCCTCAGCACCACATAAAAGTAAATAAATAAAGGGATGTGTCCATCTACAACTAAAAATAATAACGGTAATGATGATGAAGGAGCGCCCGGGGACACTCCCTAGGCACAAGGCAATATGGGAACAGAGAATGAAGCAGCCAGGCCCTCCCTCTCGGAAGAGCAGGTGACACATGAGCCACTATGAAGAGAAAGGCAGACAGGTCAGAGGCCTGGGCTGCTGTCCCCCACCCGGAACTGGGCAGGTGTGGGGACCGAGGGGTGGCAGGTGGGGAGTTCCTGGAACCCTCAACTGAGGCAGCCCCAGCTGGGCTCCCTGAGCCAGGCGTCTCCCAGCGGCAGGTGGAAGCTGTGGGCTCCTGAGGGTCCCAGGGACCCTCCATAGACTGGGTGGGAGGGCAGCCCGAGGTGGCAGGAGGACCCGATGGATGGGACAGTCAGGGCGGCTGGGCCCCTCAGTGGGCGCCAGCGGCTCTCCTCCCTTCTTCCTTCCTTCAACCTGGACATGCCGATCTCTGATCCACCAACAGTCCACCAGGGAGGGGACTCCCGTTGTCCCCATCTGACCTGAGATGAAACTGAGACGCGGCAAGGTGCCTGTCCCCAGCCCCCGCCTGTGAGCAGCAGAGCTGGGACTGGAACCGCCAGCATCCGCAGTGACGCGCTCTGCTCCTCTCCCAGCTCAGCCTCAGAACCGCGCCGAAGCCCAGGAGGTCACCTTCAGCCTGGAGCCCATGCCCGTGGCCCGCTGCGTCTCCTCGGGGGGCCGCCCGCCTGCCCGGATCACCTGGATCTCCACCCTGGAAGGGGAGGCCAGAGAGAGCCAGGAGCCGGGGCCCTCACCAGGCACAGTCACGGTCACCAGCCGCTACACTTCGGTGCCCTTGGGCCAGGTGGATGGGGTCACGATCACTTGTAAAGTGGAGCATGAGACCTTGGAGGAGCCGGTCCTGCTGCCCGTGAAGCTCTCCGTGCGCTGTGAGTGCCCCTGAGGGGACCCCGCCCCCCAACACCGTCTACACTGCTTGCATTGGCTCCTTGACCCCATCCTGCACTGCCCTCCTGCCCACTGTCTATACTGGCTCCTGGGACCAGCTTCTTGTGTCCACGCTGACTTCACAGGGCTCTTGCCACGTAGCCCCCATGGGTCAGCTGAGGTGGGCGTGGAGGGGAATTTCTCCCAGTTCTGCATCCAGTGACATCTGGTTGGTAGTGAGATCAGCCTTGGGGTTACACACAAGGAAGCTGCCAGATACGTTGGGGTTTTTCTTTCTCCACTGCAGAGATCTGGGGTTTTTATTTGTCTGGGGGGTACCAGGGATTGAGCTCAGGGGCCCTTGACCACTGAGCCACATCCCCAACCTTGTTTTGTATTTTATTTTGGGACAGGGTCCCACTGAGTTGTGTAGGGCCTTACTAAATTGCTGAGACTGGCCTTGAACTTGGTATCCTCCTACTTCAGCCTCCCGAGGTCCTGGGATCACGGGTGTGTGCCACCATGCCTGCCCAGAGATCTGGTTTTTAGCATTCACCTACCCCCAACATCACCCAGTGCCCTGACTGTCCTTCCCAACTGTCCTGGGCCATGGTCTACGCTGTCCTCCCAACAGTGTCTACCCTGTTTCCCACACTGTTGAGGTCGTCTCCCAGGGACACTGTCTAGAGTGACTCCCAGGGAAGTCTGTGCAGACTCCTGCTCCCCAGCATTGTTTACTTTGGCCTCTCTGGGCTGTTGGTTCTGACCCCTCCCAATGTGTTTTTTCTAAGACAGTTCCTCCAGAAACTGCCCACGGTGATACCCCAAAATGTCACCCAGAGAGGCACCTTCAGCACTCTTCACAGACCCTGGCAGATACTAACTGTACCAAGAGTCTGCTCACTGTCCACACCCACCCCATGCCCCAATCACTTTAGGTACTCCAACTGGCCAGGCCATGCCTACATTTACACTGGCTCCCCAACCTGGTCTACACTGGCTCCCTGGGGCCACGGTCATCTGCACAACATGTGCACAGGCTTCCCCGAGCCTCGTCTATACCAGTCTTCCCATTGTCTATGCGGGCGGGCAGGCACTGTTTGCCATCTCCCTCCCATGTTGTCCACTCTGGGCATGTGAGAAATACATACATGGGCTGGGACACAGCTCAGTTGGTCGAGTGCTTGCCTTTGCATGCACAAGGCCCTGGGTTCAATCCCCAGCACCACAAAAACAAACAAACAACAACAACAACAAAAAAACCATCACATACAGCTGGGTACAGTATGTATATGTAATTCCAGCTACTTGGGAGGCTGAGGCAGGAGGATCCCAAGATTGAGGCCAGTCTCAGCAACTTAGAAAGACCCTGTCTCAAAATTAAAATAGAGACTGGGGCAATGGTAGCCCAATGGTACAATCCCTAATGGGGGGCATGGGGGAGTAGTGCACATACCACACACACGTTATCTGTGGTGGCTCCTTGGACACCAGCAGCCCTGAATAATAATGTCCTCAAAGTTTCCTACAGTGGCCTTAGCGGAGACAGCCCAGGCACCCATTGTGTCCCCTGGTGGGCCCCTTGCTACCACTTCTTTTCTAGGATTCCTGTCTAGTAGCTAATCTGTCCACCGCTCTGGGATCATGCCTGTCTCTGAGCCAGTGCCCCATTTCCTCCAGACCCCCCCGAGGTCTCCATCTCTGGCTATGATGACAACTGGTACCTCGGCCGTAGTGAGGCCACCCTGATGTGCAATGTCCGCAGCAACCCAGAGCCCACGGGCTACGACTGGAGCACGTGAGTGAGAGGACCCAGAACCTGGGCCTGAGGGAGGAGGCTGGGCAGTCGGGGTCCCGGGTTAAGCCCGATCACTGGACCCTGGGTCTTCAGGACAGGCCTGTGCTCCCGGTGGACCCTGCCGCGCCCCTTACCTGACCTTCCACCCCCAGGATTTCGGGCACCTTCCCAGCCTCAGCTGTCGTCCAGGGCCCCCAGCTGCTGGTCCACTCAGTGGACCGACTGGTCAATACCACCTTCATCTGCACCGTCACCAACGCTGTGGGCACAGGCCGCGCCGAGCAGCTCGTCTTAGTCCGAGGTAAGTGGGTCTTGGGGCTGAGTGTGAAGACCCCCGTCTGCTTCTGTCGTTTCTCCCAGGTTTGGGGCCACTTTGGGCGAGGCCGTGCTGCTGCCCTGGGCAGGATGGGGTACAGACCCGGCTCGCTGCCCTGTGGGCGCTGCCCTGTGGGCCTTGAGGTGCCACAGGGGTATGAACAGCGTGAGGAGGTCGAGGCCTGGGCAGGGCCTGGCGGGAAGCTACTCCAGGCACAGCCCCGACACGGTGAGGCCAGAAACAGAAACCCACAGCCGCTGCGCCACTAGGAACGCAGACAGGCCCCAGAAGCGGGCCAGAAGGGAGAAGCAGGAGCCGGGGCCCGGGATAGAGACAGGGCCACATCATCACGGTCTAGCCACACACTTGGGGACAGGCAGGACTGTCACATGCCTGGAGACAGCCACATGGGCGCCCACAGCCGAGAACAGAGTACCTCCCGTCAGGAGCATGCCAGCAGGGTCTGCACACAGGGGACACTGTGGCTGGGAGTTCTGGGGCAGGGAAGAGGAGAAATCCAGACAGACACCAGCCTGGGTATCACCCACACACCAGACCTATTGTCACCAAGACACTCTGGAGAGAGCAGTGGCACCAGCCAAGACACACTGAATAAGGCCAGTGACACTGGTCAGAGCCCTTGAGACTTTGCACATGCCTAGAAAGAGCCACTCTTAGAAGCACCTCGTGGATGACTGTCCCCGCAGCTTGCCTGTGCAGACACTCATTTCGGGAATGGTGGCCCTAACAGGGCAGCAGAGCCCCCTAGAAACACAACCAAAGATAGAGGGACCTGCTCCCAGGCACGGCCTGTCCCTGTGGCACAGACACAGCCAGAGACAGACCCCCACCTGCCTATGCAGAGAGTCCAGACGCTGGCCTGGGAGGTGGGCCGCGCTGCCTTAGGATCATTGTCCCACGCGACAGACCCCGAGGGACAGCACACCATCATACCTGGAAGGAGACACACAACACAGGACAGCAGTCCACATGCAGAAACCTCAGACGTGGGTGCCCCGAAGACACCACGGACGTCCTGGGAGGCGCCTGCTCCCTAAAACTATCCAGAAACTCAGTTATGAAGAGTCTTTTATTCATTTATTTATTTTTAAAATTTTTTAATTTTTAAAAATATTTTCTTTTTAGTTGTAGCTGGACATAATACCTTTATTTATTTATTTTTTATGTGGTACTAAGGATCGAACCCAGGGCCTCATATGTGTGAGGCAGGCGCTCTGCCACTGAGCCCCAGCCCCAGCCCTTCTTTTTTGGGGGAGGGGGTACTAGGGATTGAACCCAGGGGTATTTTATCACTGAGCCACACCCCCAGCCCTTTTTATCTTTTATTTTGAGACAGGGTCTCACTAAGTTGTTGAGGCTGGTCTTGAACTTGCCATCCTCAGCCTCCCGAGTAACTGGGACCATAGGCATGTGCCACTGTGCCCCACCAGAGATTCTCATTTAATAGGTCATCCTCTGGCAAATATTTGCTGAGGTCGCCTGTTTGCCAGGAGTTCTTGTTGATGTTGGGGGTACAGTGGTGACATCAAAGGTGCCATCCCTGAGGCATGCCTAGAGGAGACCAAGCTGGAACATACCCAGCCCCTCCACCCTGAGAAATGCCCTAGAAACAGATGTCCCTGCCCACCCTCAGGAGGCACAGGCTCACTTAGGAAGAGTCTGCCGTACACGGGACACCCTGCCCACACGGATCATCGTCAGGAGAAACGCTGGGCGCTTCTTCATTCCCCCAAGGGCAGCCACAGACCCATGATAGTTAACCTCCTCATAAGGACATGCTCCCAGAGATGGCTGCCAGCAGAAATGGGGACACACTCAGCACCTTAGAAATCCAATAGCAGATGAGGAGTGCACCAACACACATTCACACACCCACCCAAGAAGACACTCGGGGCTCTTGGTCACGTTGCTCAAAAAAGAGTCCCACAGCCAGTGTGTGGTGCACACCTGTCATCCCAGCACTTCAAGAGGCTGAGGCAGGAGGATCACAAGTTGGAAGGCAGCCTTAACAACTTAATGAGACCCTGACTCAAAATTTAAAAACTAAAAAGGGCTGGGGATGTAGCTCAGTGGTACAGTACCTCTGGGTTCAATCCCCAGTAATGCAAAAATAAAAAAAGTGGGAGTGTCTCCCAGACACACAGGGACTCAAGTCAGATGCACTGCCAGACTCGGTTCACACCAGCACAAACACAGGTCCTCACATTCTGCCACCACGGGACAGATGTCTCTAGGGAGGCTCAGCACCTTTGACCAACAGACACATGAGCAGACTTGGCCCTGGCTCCAGAGCGCCAGAGCTCCACCCCAGAGACAGCAGGCACTCCAGCTCAGCGAGGACCGTGGGCAGGTGCTGCTGACCGTTGGTCCCAGTAGAGTCGTGCTTCACGCCCCAGCTCAGCATGTAGGTGCAGGTACAGTGGCATCTGTGGGGACTGGTTCCTGGAGCCCTGAGGATGGCCAGGTGGTATATGAAGTGGCCTGATGTTCGCACCGGGCCTATGCACAGCCTCATGTGCCCTTGAAATCATCCTGAGATAACTTGTAAGACGTGTCCAAGCTTCGTAGGTAGGATTACGCTGTCATTGAGGGCATCATGGCAAGAAAGGTCTGGCCAGTGTTCAGTACAGATTTTGTGTTGTTTCAGTGAAGGGCTGAAACCCAGGGTCATGTGCGTGCTGGGCGAGCGCTCAACCACTGAGCCACATCCCTGTCGCCACCCCCCAACCTCGGTTTTTCTTTTCTTTTACTTTTTTTTTTTTTTGCAGGGGGGTACCAGGGATTGAGCTCAGGGGCACTCGCCCACTGAGCCCATCCCCAGCCCTATTTTGTGTTTTATTTAGAGACAGGGTCTCATTGAGTTGCTTAGTGCCTCGCTTTTGCTGAGGCTGCCTTGGAACTCGTGATCCTCCTGCCTCAGCCTCCCTAGCTGCGCGCAGCTTCCCCAGGCCTTTTTATTTTTTATAAACTCATTAAAGTTGCCCCAGCTGGCCTTGAATTTGCAATCCTCCCATCTCAGTCTCCCATCTCAGTCTCCTAGAAATGTACACGTGCCCCACAGCACCTGGGCCTACTTTTCTTTTTTTTTTTATAATGCGGAATGCAGGTCACTAACCTGATTTGCCAGCTACTGGGTCATGACCCCTTGTTGGCAAACACCATCCTAGGGCTGGGGTGGAGCTCAGCAGTGGCCTGCTGGCCTGGCATGCACCAGGCCCTGGGTTCCTCCCAGCACCTCTGTTGCCAGGCTGGGCAACAGAGAGGGACCCTATCTCAAAACCAAAAATAATAAATAAATAAAAGAAACCACCAAGAACAGACAGAAGCCTCAGCGCCAGGACCCCAGCCCCCCTGTGTGCAGGGGCACAGGGGGGTCTGTCTGTGGGAACGAAGCCCCCGTCTCCCTCGGGCCGGCACACGGGGGTGGGAAGGGGTACGTGAGAGGACCCGCTGGCAACTGTCTCTGTCCTTGGTGGGGTGCCAGAGCCCCCTTCCTCCTCCCTCCTTTCCTTTCCTCCTCGTCCCCCACCCACCCCCAGCTCCATTTCCGCCTCAGCTGTCCCTCCCCCAGTGCCCTGCTCGGCCACTGCAGGATGCCCCCAGGAAGCCAGGAGGTGGCTTTGACATGCTGGGGCCCCATAGCCCAGGGAGACAGGGCCACTGCCACCTGGTCACCCCCCACACACACGTAGGAACTATTAGGGCCCTGCCCCCCTCAGACGGCCAGAGCTGTGGAGTCACCCGGCCCCACGCTCAGAACCAGCGGGGACCTGACCTCAGAGTTTCCAGAGGCCCCAGCTCACGCTGGAGGTGGCTGCCAACACAGGCAGCTGGGTCCCCGCTGGTGAGCAGGGTGGCCGGGTGTGGGAGTCTGCTGTCCCCTGCCCTCCCGCTGCCGGGTGCCAGGTAGAGGAGCTCTCTGTGGCTGTGTCCCCGGGGGACTCTGGGTCTCGGCTGGCGATTGCAGTTCTCTTTTGCACCCCGGAATCTGAGCCGGGCCTGGGCGCCAGCGAGCGCTTCACCACGCCTCTGGCCAACGGCTTCAGTCTTTGAGGGTCACTGCGGGCCTGAGTCGTGTCCCCAGAGCGCCAGGTGGCAGCCCCGCCTGCCGGGTGCCCGCCGGAGCCAGGGGTGCAGACGTTCCTCGTCCCCCCTCCAGTCAGTCACCCCCTAACCCTCGCGTCTTGGGTCTCCCCTCGCCCCAGATGGCTTTCTTGACCTGGTGTCCCCCTCTCTCTCTCCCCCCTCCCCCCCTCCTTCTCTCTCCTCAGACACCCCCCAGGCCTCCTCCCGAGACGCGGGTCTCCTGGTGTGGGGGGCGGTGGGGGGCACACTGCTGGTGCTGCTGCTTCTGGCTGGGGGGTCCTTGGCCTTCATCCTGCTGAGGGTGAGGAGAAGGAAGAGCCCCGGAGGCGGCGGCGGCATCGGAGACAGGGCATCCTACGATCCGAAAGCTCCCATGTTTGGGAATGGGGTCCCCGTCTTCTGGAAACCACCCTCCCCGGGTCCCATGAGGCCAGAGGGCAAGGACGAGGAGGACGAGGAGGAGGATGAAGAGGCGAAGGCGGAGGAGGGCCTCATGCTGCCTCCGTGCCCAGCGCTCAAGGACGACATGGAGTCCCACCTGGACGGCTCCCTCATCTCGCGGAGGGCGGTTTATGTGTGACCCGGGGACGAGAGACGGAGACAACCTCCCCCGGCCCTGCCAGCCAGGGCCGCCGACTGGCCGGACTGTCCGATTGTCTGTCTGTCTGGCCTGGATCCACGCGCTACCTCCCGCTTTCTGGGATTGGAGGGAAGTGGAATCACGCACTGGACTTCTCCTTTCTCCAGGGCTGCATGGGAAGGGGTGGCCCGGGAGCTCAGTGACGGGGACCCAGAGAGGACCCCTCAGAGACTGTTTTTGGCCCTAGCCTGCCTCTAGCCCCGTGACACTCAGGAGTTAATAAATGCCTTGGAGGAAAACTTCAGGGGTGTCTTGTAGTACATTAGACCCCCTCTTTGGGTCCTGGGGAAAGAGTGGGTGGGACGGGGACTACCCAGTCCCAGGGGTTGGGAAAAACTGTACTGGGCCCCCTAGGGGGCAGCCTGTGGGGGCTCAGATCACATGGACGCCCAGGACCCCTGAGGCTAGTGGGACTCGGAATTGGGTCACAGGCTTTGGGGCCTAGAGGCTGGAGTGTTGGGACTTCTGGGTCTCCGGATGGAAGTGGGGTGGCCAGACTGGCTGAAGGCCCAAGTTCACCTGGAAAGCTAGGCTGAGTACCTGGACTCCTGGGCCCTTGGGGGACAGGGGGGTTGGCAGGAGCCAGGGTCCCAATGTCCTGCGTTCAGAGAGAATGTGCGGGCAGAGGGCTGCGGTCTAACTGCAGGCAGCCCAGCCAGGACCTCCTCTGGATTGCTGAGGACCTTAAGAAGGGAGGGCTACTTGCCCTGTCTTGGGGGTCCTTGAGGCTACAGGGCAGCTGTGGTGCTGGGGATCCGTGGAAAGCCTGGCCCTCCCAGTGACCCTTTCCAGCCACCTTCCTCCCCACTTGCTCAGGGCCCAGCCCCAGGGGAGTCTCAGTGATTCAAAGTGGCGTCCCTCCCACTGCCCGGGTGGAGAAGGTCCTCAGCTGCCAGGCTCAGTTTGAGAGAGGAAGGGGCAGGCTTATGGCACTCAGCTCCGGAGCCTCTGGCCTCCCGGAAAAGGGAGCTGGTGTCCAGATCTGCCTCCCAAGACTGTCGTGAGATCCGGCAAGGACACGCGCAGGATGCCCTCGGAGCTGAGGGCCAGCAGGGGACGGACATGCCGCACTTTTTCAGCCTGAGTGGACTCCGCGTGCTCTGCAGCGCCTGGCCCGGCCGTGCTGGAGACACACAGGACCTGGACGCGTGTGGCCCGCACTGCCCTTCGCCCAGTCGGTGAAGACAGAAGAGCCGAACCTGAGGATGACGGTGTGTGTGGATTGAGCAGATCACTCCTTGTCCCCGCGACTCCTTGTCCCCGCGCTCTGAAGCCCTCTAGAGGATGCCCTGCTGGATGCAGACAGCATCCCCTGGGAAGCTCCCTCTCCTCATCTGGACGGTGGGGTTGGTGTCACCGGGACACCATAGGACTCTTCCACCCTTGGGCCTTCCTCTGTTGATGGTCTACCCCACCCCCTGGGAACAGGAGGGCCGCGTTTTCTCTCATCTGGCATGTCACTGAGTGTCCATTCCAAGCCTGCTGTAGACATCTGGCAAACACCTGCTGTGCACCTGACCTTGGGGCTCGGCTCAGGGTTGCAGGGGAAATTGGCAAACAGGTCATTGCTTCAATAACTACTAGGAGAGGTGGATGTGGCCAGTGAGAAGGGAGAATTGGAAGTGAGAATAGGAAGTACTGTGCAATAAGGGAGCCCTGGGGACATGAACTCTCAAGCCCTCCTGCTAGTCTGGAGGAGATTCCATTCCTACCATGAATGGGGGTCTCTGCTCCTGGTCCCAGGATCTCCCCGGCTTCTCTACCTTTAAATTGATCCTCCATCTTCTTCCTTCATCTCTCTCCCCTCCACTTTGCCCAGCCTCACAGTCTCCTTCCTATTCTTTAGAAGAGCCATGAGGCAGGGCTGGGGTATAGCTCAGTAGCAGAACACTTGCCTAGCATGAGCAAGGCCCTAGGTCTAATCCACAGCAGTGCAACAAACTAACCTTTGCACTGGTGGATCCTCTGACTGTAGCACACTCAGATACTCTCATGGCTCACCCTGCTCCTTCTTCAGGTGTTTGCTCAAATGTCCCCTCACAGTACATCCCTGTCTGCACTCCCATCATTCGTTATCACCTTCCTCACTCTGAATTTTTATCCTCTGTCACTGATCCCAACCTGGCATATAAGATGTCACATTGTTTGTTTGCTTTGGCCTCCCTGCCCAACCAGAACTTAAGTTTCATGAGGATGGAGACCAGGCGTGTGTTTCAACGCTCCTCCTCCCAAGCCCAGCTCACGACAAACGTTCCTTACTTGCACTCAGCAAGAATGAGCTGAATGGAACAGTGTCCCCTTCCCATGGGAAAAGAGGAAGGCAGGTGGGAGGTGACTCAAGGGTGGGCCTGGGATGAGGAGCTGGGGCTTTCTCCCTCACACTGTCCTTCTCCTTGCAGAAATGCCCAACACGGCAGGCGCAGGGGCCACGGGTGGCATCATTGGTGGCATCATTGCTGCCATCATCGCTACAGCTGTCGCTGCTACGGGCATCCTCATCTGTCGGCAGCAGCAGAAGGAGCAGAGGCTGCAGGGGGCGGAGGAGGAGGATGAGTGAGTGGCGCGGGTCCTGGAGGGGGAGAGGATGGCAGAATTGGAGGGCACTGGGTGGGGGCTGTGGGTGGGAGAAATCATCCATGATGACTTGGTGACACAGACTTCCCTGAGGTGGGAAGGAAAGTGACAGTACTGCGGAGAAGTCATCTGAGCCCAGGTTCCTGCTACCTTGTTGCTCCACTTTCCCTAGAGCATGGTTTTCATTTGCGTCCCAAGATGGCTCCCTCCTCATCCACCAGGGTCTTTGCACAGGATCACCAGACACTGCCGTCCTGGCCTCAAGGCCGGCACTGTAGCCAGTGAGAAGGGAGAATAGAGGGCAACTGGCTTCCCTGTAGAGAAACAGCGGGCAAGTTACCCATTACTTCCCATTGGCCAGAACTTAGTCACATGGTTGCCCCAGCTGCAAGGGAAGCTGGGAAATGTAGTTCTTATTTTTTTTATTTTTTGCAGTGCTAGGTATTGAACCCAAGGGCACTCGACCATGGAGCTACATCCTCACCCCATTTTAGTTTTTTATTTTGACAAAGGGTCTTGCTAAGTTGCTGAGGGTCTCACTAAATTACTGAGGCAGACTTAAAATTGAAATCCTCCTGCCTCAGCCTGCCAAGTTGCAGGGATCATAGGCATGGGCCACCACCCAGGCCATAGTCTTTATTCTCAGTGGCCATGTGCCCAGCTAATTCCTCTATTAGGGTGAGAAAGAGGGAGACTGGACACTGGGGGGAACTGGCCTTGCTCTGTAAAGCGCTTCTGTGCCAGTGAGATGTATTTTATATGTGTGACCCCAGCACAGTCTCGCACCATGAATCCAACGAGCATTCAGAAATACTAGCACTGGAAGGTAGGGACACAATGATGAGACACATTTTTTTTTAAAGGGTCCACACAAGTGAATAGATCATGGAAAAAGTTTTCAGAAGGAGCTAATGATGCTTATTTTGTGGAAGAGGAACCAGTTTCAGAGAGTGGAAATTCCACTGCTGAAATTCATCCCACAAAAATTTTTGTGGCCAAGTGTTTCTCAAATAACACTGTCAGTACAGTGGGGACAGTGAAATGCACATTCCTCCTGGGTGTGGTGACGCACACCTGTGATCCTAGCAACTCAGGAGGCTGAAGCGGGAGGATCACAAGTTCAAGATCAGCCTCTGCATTAAAGCAACCTAGCAAAACCCTAATTCAAAATGAAAGAAAAGGGCTGGGGATGTGACTTAGTGGTTAAGTGGACCCTGGGGTTCAATCCCTGGCACCAAAAAAATAAAAAAATAAAGATAAAAAGCAAATTCTTGGACCTGTCCCCAAAGCTACTGGATCAGAACTTCTGAGAAAGGACTCAGAATCCATATGCATAACAAACTCCCCAAGTTATTCTGGTACAGTAGAGGGACGCAGGACATGAGTATGGCCTTCATCCTCCAGTCCCTTCAAACCAACAGCTGCTGTTGGTCTTCTGGGTGCCCCACCAGTGTGAGCCCAGGGTGCCCTAGCCCTGGCCTCCTGGGGCTCACAGTGGGGAGGAGACAGACCTGTGACAGACGCATGGCCAGAGAGGCACAGGACAGTTCAGGGCCTGCAAGAGCCCATCATTATCGATAAACAGGTTGCTCTGGTCTGTGAGGGAGGATGAGGGACTTGGTTGAGGATGAGGGAGCATCTCAATCCTTTATTCCTTCTCTTGATCTTTACTTTTTCAGTTCTGAGGATTCATTCTTTTCTTTTAAATAAACCTTCTCTGAATCCTGGGGATCTAGGGACACTGACGATGACCCAGGTCTTGTCCTTTTCTCCCAGAGCTCACAGTAGGGTGTGGAAATTGAACACATCACAAATAACATTTTCAAGTACAAATTCAGGCATTTCCCTGAGGGGCTGTACAGCTAGATGTGACCCACATTCCTGATCCATCAGGAGAAGCAGGGATTCTTCCTGAAAGAGGAGGACTTCCTTGGATGAGGAGGGGTTCACCTGGCAACAGGGAGGGGCCACAGAAAGGGAGGTCCAGGCAGAGGAAGCCAAGCACAGCCAGCCTCCGGGGCAGGGGCTTTCTGAAGTCTCGGTTTCCACCTGACCCACCTCCCACCCCGCAGCCTGGAAGGACCTCCCTCCTACAAGCCACCCACCCCAAAGGCAAAGCTGGAGGAGCCAGAGATGGTGAGCACTTCCCCTGGAATCCAAGCTGTCCCCACTCCTTACCTTCCTTTCCCCACGGGGTGGGCTTGCGGGAGAAGCCCGTGGCCCCAGACCTGCCCTCTCCCTCCTGCCACAGCCCTCCCAGCTCTTCACTCTGGGGGCCTCGGAGCACAGCCCACTCAAGACTCCCTACTTTGACGCTGGCATCTCGTGCGCTGAGCAGGTAGGAGCTCAGGAGAAGACAGATGGGTTTAGGGTCTTGGTAGCAAGGGTTGAGGGTCAGGCCCTGGCCCTTAAGGGTGACAACCCAAATCAGGCTGTGTCTCTGGCTGGATTGACTACTCTGAGATGTGTTCAAGATTCAGTGAAGGAGGTCAGGAGTAAAAGGCCGACCACACGAGGGTAAAGTCGTCAGAGCAATGCAGACTGGCTCAGCATCTCCGTTTTCCAGGTACTGCCTGGAGCTGGGTCAAGGCAGTAGAGTTGCTCCCCCTCACTGGTCTCCTGGAGGTCAGGGGTCAGATTGCACCTGAGACAAGCTGAGGTTCAAGGAGCTGTTTAAGGCTCAAGGTTAAATAGTTAAAGGCAAGACTGAGGTGAAGATTCATGGGTAAAGACAGGAATCAAGTGGCAAAGGCCCCTGAGGTCCCTGTTCTGGGCTTTGGGTTGGAGATGGGCTTATGATTGTCCCAGTACAGCATCAGCTCAGAGAACCAGCTCAGCAGGAACGGAGTCAGGTCTGATTGGCATAGGGGAGAGGGGGTCAGGATCTGTGGGTCAAGGGGTGGATTGGGACTCTCATGCCCAGGAGATGACCTTGAATTCCAACTCCCTCCCCACCTCCAGGAAATGCCTCGATACCACGAGCTGCCCACCCTGGAAGAGCGGTCCGGACCACTGCTGTTGGGGGCCACAAGCTTGGGGGCCCCTGTGCTGGTGCCTCCAGGACCACCTACTGTGGAGGAAGTTTCCCTGGATCTAGATGAGGATGAAGAGGAGGAAGAGGAGGAGGAGGACTATCTGGACAAGATCAACCCCATCTACGATGCCCTGTCCTACCCCAGCCCCACTGATTCCTACCAGGGCAAAGGCTTTGTTGTGTCCAGAGCCATGTATGTGTGAGTCACCAAGGCTCTGACCTCTCACTGCACCTGATCCCTTAGCCTTCTGCCAGGGATCTAGTGCCCCTGACCGCTGGCCAAGCCACGGCAGTTAACACATGTGCATCCCACCAACCACTTCCACCTTAGTGGCTTCACTATGATCTCTGTCCCAGAGAAACCTGCCATGACCAAGGAAACTTGATGACTTCATCTCCTGAGGCAGAGGGTAGGGAGGATATATTTCTGCACAAATTCTGACCCCAAGGACTCTTCTGAGGCTGTGATCTTAGACCATACCACTCCCCCCACAAAGACTCCACACCTCAGATTGGTCTCAGGCAGTGAAGTCCCAATAGGTCTGCGATGGTGGGCATTACCGGTTCCCTGCTGCATAGACCTGAGCCCTCCAGGCAGCAGAGCACCACTTGTCCTCTCCTACCTATTCCCCAAAGGTGGGAGGGAGGGAATTCCCCAGGCCAAGCCAGAGCTCTCCCATCCCCCTCCTCCTGCAGGCAGGAGTCTCAGGGCCCAAATCCTCCCCTGAGCCCACCAGCCCATTCCTGTCTACAGAGCATGATGCCCCAGCCCATTGCCAGATGGGGTGAGCCTCGTGCAGTGTGCCTTGACAGCCCAACGTGGGGAGGAGCATTTACTGTTACCTGGAAGACTACTGAATCCCTTTACCCCTGCAGGGTTGGAAAGTGGGTCACCTGGGTTGGGGGTAGAAGCTATTGTATTGTTTTGTAAACTAAAATTTCCTACAAACTATGAATTTATACTTTGAACAGGTCTTGCGTTTTCTGTGGGCAGTGAAGGGGGCGGGGATGGGAGTAAAGAGATGATGGATAATGGAAGGAGAGGGCAGAAGTCCTGGGCATGCAAAGTAGTAATGAAAAGAATTAGGGCAGCAGCAGACCAATGGTGATGGGTAGAAATAAACGCAGCAAAGGTTTAAACATGAGTAATTAGGTAAGGGGTTTCGTTTTAATGGCAAAGCGGCAAGTAAACAGACTCGGGGCAAAACTACAAATCTAACAGGAGCCCGAGGGTTAACGGATAATCCCTCTGAATGAGCAAGAGGCAGAATAAAGAATAACGGAGAGACGGGCGGTGGGCATGACGGACGGTGGACAGGAGCGGGCGGAGCCGAAGACGATGGTTAACTAGGGACGGGCCAGGAGAACGGTGAACCGGATCAGGCAGAAGCGGGTTGAAGAAAGTTCAGGCAACGAAGCTGAAATTAATGGGGCGAAGGCACGATGGGTAATGGGACGGGAATGAATGGGCCAAAGATAGAAGCCGCAGTGACGCAGGGAGCCGACGGCATGATGGGTAACGAAAGGGGTGGGTCCAGGGCAAAAGTAACGTTACGGAGTAATGGCATTGTGGGTAACGAGCAGGGCAGGGTTCACAGAACAGGTTAGCATTCTCCCGGGGCACTGTGGGAAAGACCTGCACTTCCGGTTTTCGGTGAGCGACTCTGGAATAGAGAGAGCGCCCCTTTGCCGCGGTGCCTGGTGGGACGCGAGGCCTGACCTTGCTGCCTAGCAGCCCCTGCCGCGCAACCCACCTTTACCTGTGTCCTTCGACCCTGGTATGTTAGCCAATGAGAGAACAAAAGTGAGACGTCATCAAGATCAGCCCTCTGTTCACCACAGACACAATCAGGATGCTCCAAGGGCCAAAGCCGACCAATTACCATAGCGCTTGCAGCGGGGCGGAGTCGAAAGAGGGTGGTCCTTCAAGAAAGAGGCGGGACGAAGCGTCAAATGGGCGTTGCAAAGTGCCCAGTACAGACCAATTGGTGGGCTAGCCCCGGAACCCGCGGCATCGGGAGCCAATAGGCGTGGGTGCCGCAAGCCAATAGGAAGGACCAACAGCTCTGCTGGGCCGCTTGCGTGTGGAAACCAATCAAAAAGGACGTTCGGGAGAGGTGGGTGGGACTTCCAGCCACGACTCCAATTGCAAGGCCGGGCGCCGAAGACGGTGGGTGGAACCTAGTGCTCACTGAACCAATGGGTCAAACGGGGCGGAGTGACGGTGGCGGCGGCGGCTGCAGTGAGTTCGGTTGCGCGTGGCGCACGGGGTGGGAGCGGAGCCCAGGCCGGGAGCAGGCGCCACCGCCAGTGAGAACTTGGGTCTGGAGCAGGGCAGGGGTTCACAGGGGCTGAGTCCGGGGCGCGCGGGCCCTGACCTCTGCCCTTTGACCTCTCCCCTCGCAGGCCACCATGGGGAACGTGTTGGCCGCTAGCTCGCCGCCCGCAGGGCCGCCGCCTCCACCTGCGCCGGCCCTCGTGGGGCTGCCGCCACCTCCGCCCTCGCCGCCGGGCTTCACGCTGCCGCCGCTCGGAGGCGGCCTTGGTGCTGGGGCCAGCGCGGGTCGAGGTTCGGACCGAACCGCGGGGGCTGCCACCGTCAGTGCCGCAGGGGTCGCTGACAACGGGGCCTGCGACTGCCTGCCCAACCCCGGCACGTTCGAGGAGTGCCACCGGAAGTGCAAGGGTAAGGGTCGAGGGGCCTCTGCGGGTGATCTGATGCCCTGAGCTCGCGGAGGGGTGCGGGGCCGGCGCGGAGAGGACACTGGGGACCTTGGGAATTGGCGCGCACCATTGGAGTCACTCAACAGAGCGTTAGGTGTTGACGTTGGGAGCAAATGATGGAAAGTTGGACTTGGGCATAGAACGATGAACCAGATGGTGGAACCTCGGGGTGGACTGCTGTAGGGTGGAGAAGCCGTAGACAGCCCTGGAGCTCCAGGATCAGTCACAGCAGACTTCTAGTGTGATCGGGAAGGGAACTGAGGCCCAAGGTCACAGTGTCAGCAAGGTTCCCGTGAGGGGTGGGGCCCAAGGCTTTTGGGGTCCTGGCTTGGAGTAATTATGGTAGTAATAGTGATGGAGACCTATTGAGTTCTGTTCTGCTATTTAGGTTATGGTGATTCATTAAGTCTTTGGAACAGTTCCATTTAGTGCGTTCTCCCATCACACATATGATGAGTTTGACATAAAGCAAACTTGGTTAAAGTCACGCAGATGGTGGCATTGGATGTTGGACACTGGCAAAGTTCCTGGCCCTGTCTACTAGACATTACTGCCTCCCTAACTGGTTGTGATACTTTGGAGATCTTCTGATGTGGGTCTCTGGAGAGAGCTGGGTGGTGAAGGAGAGTTGACTGTTGGTGTGTCATTTGTTGAGTGGAGTGTGACAGCATTTCTCTCCTCCAGAGCTGTTTCCCATTCAGATGGAGGGTGTCAAGCTTACAGTCAACAAAGGGTTGAGTAACCATTTCCAGGTGAGCCCTCCAGGTACCTTTACCCACCAGAGGTCATCACAGCCATCCCCTGCATCTACACAAGCAAATTCCCTTACTGTCCCTAAAGGGCTGGGCTCCTTCAAACTTGAAAGAACTCAGAGACACTATGCCAGGCTGAATACTCAGTGGGGCCACTGGTAGGGTTTTGGGACAAAGAATCAAGAGATGCCCCTGGCTTCATAGCATGCAGGCAGGAGTGATGGGCCAGGTGTCAGCCACCTGCAGCCCACCCTTCTTGAGTCTCTAATCTAGTTAGGTCATACCTCCTAGTCTGTCCTTTATTGGTGTAACCCAGGGCCTCACCTTGGCTAAGCATGCACTCTGCCACTAAGCTACCCCCACCCCAGTTTTCATCCCCTGCCCAGAAATCCTGTCTTTGCCCCCTCCATTGGGGAAGCCAGACTGGCAAGTACCCCACAACTTTCCCTTTTCTCCCAGGTGAACCACACAGTAGCCCTCAGCACAATCGGGGAGTCCAACTACCACTTCGGGGTCACGTATGTGGGGACAAAGCAGCTGAGTCCCACAGAGGTGAGGTTCCTTTTGCCATCAGCTTGAACAGATATGTGGCCAAATGCACGTCTCAGACCTCAGTGTTGGGAATAGGGACTGGAACTCTCCAAGAGGCGTTGGAACATGGGTAGTCCCTTCTCCAGCAACTTCCCTGAGCCCCTGCTCTCTCTCTCTGGTCTTGTGCTGAGAAATGCTGGTGGGGGCACCAGGGCGATCACAACACCAGACAGTGATGACCCATGGGCAGGGCTGGGTATCAGGTTGTGGGATTTTAAATGCCAGGTGCTTGGACTTTCTCTAGGGGGCGCTAGAGAGCCGTGGAACATTTGAACAGGGGAAAGATGATCATCACATTTGTGCTTCAGATGTTCCCTCGGGCTGCCATGGGGAGGCAGGATACTGGGGTGGGGGTGACTGTAGGCCTGGACTGAGGGAGACAGTACTCATTTAGGTCCCTGTTTCTATTACCTATTTCCCTTCAATAAATTCACTTATTCAGCAAAACTTTGTTGTAATTCTGTGGTATGCCTAGCTTTGTGCTGGGATACAGTAGTGACTGAGACACTTGTGAGACTCATAGTCTAGTAGAGTGGGACAGATCTCTTCCCTGAGAGTAATGACCCAGGGTGGGCACAAAATGGGGGAATTCAAAGGCTGTGGGGACCCAGAGAGAGGCCCTAACCTGGCCCAGGTGCTGAGGGAGCGCTTTATGGAGGAGGGAGCCTTGTGCTGAGCCTCTGACTCCAGGTTCAGGGCTTGGGCCTCCTGATGACATGCTAAAGTGCTGCCTTCCAACCTCTAACCTGCCCTCTCCCCCTCCCGCAGGCGTTCCCAGTGCTGGTGGGTGACATGGATAACAGTGGCAGCCTCAACGCTCAGGTCATTCACCAGCTGGGCCCTGGCCTCAGGTCCAAGATGGCCATCCAGGTGAGTGGGGGCGGGCACCGCCTACTCCTGGGCCAGCCAGGTGCTCCTGGCACAGCTGCTGCCCTCACACTCCCCTCCCCACAGACCCAGCAGTCGAAGTTTGTGAACTGGCAGGTGGATGGGGAGTACCGGGGTTCTGACTTCACGGCAGCCGTCACCCTAGGAAACCCAGACGTTCTCGTGGGTTCAGGTAAGAGGCAGAGGCCTTGGAGGGTGGTCGCAAACCCCGTCCCAGCCTTACAAATCTGTTTGCTTCTCTGGACCTGCTTTTCCACCCTGTGAGATGTGATGGGAGGGACTGGCTCTGAAACCGGCCAGGCTGGGGTGGCTCGGTGGTGGAGCGCTTGGCCGCCACTCTGGACTGGGACGTGGGCCTTGGTTTCCTCCTGGGTGGACCTGGGCTGCCTCTGAACCAGCCGGTGGTTCCATAGTTGGTGTCCCGTTGACAGGAATCTTAGAGCGACGCTAGCTATAGGTAGGTACCCAAGTCACGTGAGTTGCTTTTGACACTTTAACTGGGGGGGGGGGTGCTCCGTGTTGGTTCTGGGGCACAGAAAAGGTCACTAGATGACAGAGGCCACGTGCAGTTGTGAAGGGAGGTGGGGGCTGAGGATTCCTGTCTGGGTGGGGTAGAGGCAGGGACTGTGGCTCTGTCTGTATTTCTAGCCTCTCCCTCTCGGTTCCCTTTTTTAGGTTACTTGTGTGTGTTTCGTCTCCTGGGTACCTAGAGAGTGGGGTGTGGGTTCTGGGTTTAAGGTGGGGATTAAAGAAAACTGTCCGGCCTCCTGCACCTTCCATTCCAACAAGGCAGACACAGGGAAGGAGGGGCAGGCGAAGGTGACAGATAGGCCTCTTTCCATAGGTGATATAAGAACCATGTGAGGGAAGGAACCAGGCAGGTGGCAGGGAGGGTGGTTCGGCCTAAGGAACCAGAAGTGCAAAGGCCCTGAGGCAGGACCCTTGAAACAAACTCCAAGGTCACG